GGGGGAGGCTGCCCGCTGAAGCTGCGGCGGGCCGCCCGCCCCTCCTGTTTCCTCGGCCGTCCCCAGGTCTGCTGAGCTGGCCTCAGCGCTGGGCGGGCCGGGTTCACTGTCGCTGTGAAGGCCCAGCAGAGCCAGCGCCGCCTCTCTCGCTCCGGCTGAGTCTGCATCCTGGCGCCGCTGCCCCCTGTCGGCGCTTACCTCCCAGCAAGACGCCTCGCTTTCACAGCTGCTTTGGGGGCCGCAATCCACAGCGGCGCGCATGACAGCTGCGCCAGCGACCTGCCCGCCGCCAGACGCCCTCGCACTCCCCCACCCGCTGCCGCAACCTGCGCCGGCGGCGGCGCTGCTGCTGCTCACACCGTCGTCGCGGCGCGCGACGCGCGCGCGCTGCCGCCTCCAGTGTATCTGTATGATGCGTGCCGCCACGTCCCGCGTCACCTCGCGCAGCTGGTCTTCTGTCAGGCTGAGGCTGAGGCTCTGACGGGCGCTGGCGTCGGCGAGGCCCAGCGCGCCCAGCACGCCCGCGCTGCCCCCGCTGCTTCGGCGCGCCGCTGACGCCGGCCTCCGGGCGCGGCGGGGCGCCGGGGCTGAGATTTGGACGTTTTTTTCGAGCTGCAGTGGGTATTGGGACTGTTGCTGCTGCTGCTGCTGCTGGAGATGCAGGCAGACAGTGCTGCTGCTGCCAGTGTCGGCATCAGGCTGCGAGTCATCGCTGCCGCCACAAGCCGCGCCCAAACCCATGCCGCTGTCGCTTCTGCTGCTGCTCGCAGCGGCCTTACAAGCGTGCGGGCGCCGCATGGGGCGGCTGCTGCCGCCGAGCGCCGCAGGGGGTGGGGGAACTGGGTGCTGGAGTGACTTGGACAGCCGTGGTCGGCCGGCCCTGCTGCTCAGGGCCGCAGCATGCCTGGCTGCAGAGGGGCTGCCGTGACCGCCGCTGCCATTGCTAGGTCTAGATTCGGGGCTGGTCAAGCTCACACGCCGCGCGCTGCCGCCCCGGGCCCTGCTTGCATGCTGGTCGTGCATGTTGCCGGCGGGGCTGCCAGGGGCGGGGACGCGGGGCGCGCGCACATCTGCGGCAGCGCCACCGTGCGTGCCGTCCTGTGACACCATACGATCATACACCCTGTCAACTATGGTGTGGTTCTGCCGGCGGCGTGCAGAAGTGGCCGCTGATCGGTGTGGTCAAGGGCACTCGCACCGCCCGCCGTGCTGTGCGTGCCGCCGGCCAACGGCGCACCTCTTCGAAGCACTGCGCGAGTCAACCTTTTGTACAATCAATATTTGATCAGTTGTTTCAAAACCGACGTGAAGCGCGGCACACAGAAGATGGTTTGACACTGGATTGACGCCGATCATACGGTTCCAAGAAGGAGGCTCGCAAACTGAATGGCTTTTACAAGGTTCTTAAAGTCTTAGTATGCGTATTTAGCCTACCAGTGAAGTGCCTGGTCTCACAGGCACCGGCAATACTGCGGGCGGTGCTGCTGTTGCTGCACACTACGGTACGAAGTCCTATGTGGTGTCTATAGCTGCGTCATAAAGACGCTTGGTGTAACAACATTGGCGGTCGTCCTGTCACCGGTCATCCGCCCTGATACCAAAAGTGTCTGATCTGGCACATTGGCTCTGTCACCCTTCATAGGCGGCGTGCTCAAGATATCAAGTTCTGATTCAACCATTTCTCGCTAGCTCTACACGAGCCGTGCCCCGCTCATCCCGCGCGCCGAGTCATCGCCCGACCCGGGTCGAGTGCGCCGACGAGGCCACAGCACCGGCGCCGCAGCAGCAATGGCCGCTGCCAAGACGCTCGCGGGCAAGGTCGCGCTCGTCACGGGCAGCACGTCTGGCATTGGGCTGGCCATGATCCGCGCGCTGGCAGCGGCGGGCGCGGACGTAGGCCTGCACGGCTTCGGTGATGCGAAGACGATTCAGGGGATCCAGGTCAGCGGCGCACGGGGGATGCCCCGTGCTGCGGCCTCACATGCGCCGTGTCATAACAGGAGCATGCCCACCCTCAATGCCGCCGCCCGAGCCCAAATTACCTCCATGCCGCTGTCATTGGCCGGTGCATCGCCGCGCGGCCACAACCGCCGTCGCCTCGTCCTCGTCGCCGTCATCCCTCCCTCCTAGTAACGGCGGCCGGCGCCGCGCCACGCACATGAACCTGGCCCGTCCGCCCCGCGCCCCCCCAGGACCAGCTGCGTGGCGACCACGGCGTGAGGGTGTTCTACTCCAACGCAGACCTGCGGCAGCCCAGCCAGATCAAGGGCCTCGTGGATGGCGCCGCAGACAAGCTCGGGGGTGCGAGGATCAGGATTAGGATCAGGATCAGGATTAGGATTAGGATGAGGATTGTTACATGATCCCGCGGTCGCCCGCTCCTGGAGCCATCCAGGCTCATGGGATGTAGCATTGCAGCATCAGCGTTGTGTTATTGGGACGCAAGTGGCCAGCGTTCGCCGTTCATAGCTGGTGTGCATAAAGGCCCCACTAGGGGCCCACGAGGGGCGGGGCGGGGCTCCGCTCGGGGCGCTCCCACACGGCTCCTTGGGCTCTGCAGTTGAGAGATGTGGCTTCGAAGCAAGGAGCCACATCACTTGTTGCCTATCTGCGCGGACTGCGGTGCCTCCCTTATGACCTCCATTGCAGCGAATCCCAGCCCGCACGCGGCTGACCGCTCCTCCTGCCACCTCGGCCCCCCTCCCCGCTCCCCGCCCTGCCGCCCCAATGAAGGCCTTCACATCCTGTGGTGAGTGGGGGCAAGGGGGGCGAGCGACCCGCGTGGCAGCTTGGTGGCGCGCAGCGCCGGGGGCCGGGGCCTCTGCTTCAAGCAGAGGTCCCTCCGCAACAGCCGCGCTCGCCCGGCGCGTCCACCACCCCACCCCAATACC